CTCTCTCTCTCTCCCCCCCCCCCCCCCCCCATCTCCCCCTGCTGCCTCCCTCTCTCTGCACACTGAACCTGACAATTCTGACCTAACCCTCTTGTGACTGTCTCATTGCTACAAATAAAAGTACTATTCTATAAACGTTTTTCAGTATTCTCCAAGTTCTATTAAAAACTAGCATTAGCCCAAAGCAATTTACTGGGTGTTTTATTTCAAAGATCCATCTACTCATCTCTTCTATTGCAAGATATTAAGTTACACTTGATGTGTTCAAAACATAAACCTATCACACATGTCTGTAAAATAAAAGCAAGTTCCCCTTCAGGTATTTCTAGATTATAACAGCCATTTTGCCTATATTGTGTTTGAAATAGATCCCTGCACTATAAATCTGTTTTAAGAATGAATAAAACTGGAATGAGCTACTTGTCTTGAATTCATTTCTGCTTTTTATTATTTTGCTTTAGTAAAAGTCAGACTCCAAATGGATCAACATAAGCTAAAAACACTTACCAGAACCAATAAATCATTGATCAATTATCTCATTTCAGCATAGGATACCAAGATGAGTTTTTAAAATACTGAATCAAGACTCAATCTTACTGAGATTATGTGGATTCTGATCGCTTTGCATATGCTTCTCTTGTTGTCATGTACTGTAAAAAGAAGTTTATTTGGAAAGAGAAAATAAAGGCAAAAGCAAATAAAAGGGTGGGATATTTTCTTCTGTAATTGCAAACATGTGTTTAATCCTCTTTAGCTGAGTAGTGCCAATTCTATGCTGTATTGCTTTCTAGTCATGGCATTAATTGCCCAGAATGTAACCTTTACAAACTAGTTACACAATTCTTACCAAGCATTACGCATGTTCATTTTCATTAGGAATTTGTTTAACTTCCAAGCCATAGTTACAAAAGTTCTCTGTGATTTGCAGTTTTATCACATAACTTTGCAGACATCTTTAAACACCTTTTTCAATGTTGTGATCACAGTTTCTAAGCAACAATTTTCTTGATGGATTTTAAACAGATAAAACAGCTCCCTCTAGTGGGTATTAGAGCACTTGCCAGATTACAGTTCTTACTTTGCTAAAGTTAAAATATAATACAGCCTAGCGTCACTACACTCTGTGAAGCTGGATTTAGATGATGGCATTAATTATTTTAATGTTTGTTTTTTAATATTCATGATTTACAATCTGTTGGGATTTTTGTGAGCAAGGAAAAACCCTGCAATAGTGAGCAGGAGCTCAGGGCTAACAGTGTGGTGATACAAAGGACTCAGACCAGTGGATTCTCACTGGAAGTTCAGGGTTTATGATTCATTAGGTCCCTTCTTCAACAAGGTTAGAGGAAGGTTCAAAGGTCATCCAAATGTGATAACGTTAAAACCTGTTCCAAGTTCAGGCTCTTTTCTTGCCTTTTGCACTAAGAATGGTACAAAAATTAAGGTTATTTGGGTGCAATGTAATTCCTGTATTGTTGACTGTGAATATGATGAAAAGGACAAAAATCCATGTTTACAGTTAAAAAGGAGTAAGGCACAGTTTATTATGAATAAGACAAGAAGAATCAGTCCCTAAGCGAGAACAATCACATCTCCTAAAATTACCTTTTCCCCAGAAGAATCTTATTTTCTCTTTAAAAGCAGAACTTTGATGTAAATTCCAGACTGTATTTCTGTCAAAAGAAACCTGTGATCCTCTTTTGTAACTACAGAATATTCTTTTTCCTTCAGACGTCTATGAGGTTCCTGAAGAAGAGGTAAGCCTTTACCTACATTTTATGGGTCATACTTCCTGCACTATATACATGCATGCTGCAACTTGAAAGCACTGTATCCTGTGGTGCAAAATCATTCAGAATAAATGTGAGAGTAAACCATTGTATCAACTCTTTAATATAGAGGAAATTGGAACAAACCTTTGCCACTGAGAATGGTGCCCCATACCCCTCGTAACTTCATAACTCCATCTCCCTCCACCAAATGACAGTGAAAACTTGTTCTACTTACTACAAGCTGTTAGGTGGGGTAAGGCTTCCAGCTCTGCTTAATGTGATCCAGCCTTAGAAGCACAGGCCTACAGGAGCGTTTTCTAGAAGTGATGCCCCAGCAAAGGAAATATGAACTGTTTTGACATGATAATTTCCTTCCCACCTCCCAGTACTGACATGACACATAACTTAGTAGCATGCTTGGGGCTACACTGATATAGCAATGGTCATTTCCTGGCTACCCCATCTTTACGCATATTCCCAATAGGCAGTGTTTTGCTGGAGATACATGCTCCAATCAATGAGATATCACAAAGGCAACTTAAAATCCTATATTAGCACAAATGCATTTTATTAAATACAGATATGACCAAGTTATTAACAGTGTATTTTTTCTTAAAGGAAAAACCGTCACCACCAACAAGCAGGTAATGCATTACCATGAAATTCTGTACATTATTAAAAGTTTCTTAGACCTCGTCAAGAAATATACTTTGATAACATGTGAGCATTGTCTAAATATCTATATATTTAATACCTATGTATCTCCATAGAAGAGGTACCAAATTAATAAAATATTGTAATATTTCTTGATAAACTTTGAGAATGAGAACACACAACACATGTACTCAAATACATTGTGTTGTCTAGGATTACAGAGACTTTTGCATTTTTAATTCAGTATTTTTTGTATAATGTTTCTAACTTCACTTGTGTTGTCTTATTAGGAACACTAAACCTCTTCCTCCTAAGCCTGTTCAGAGTACAGGAGGACGTTCCCACATGCTCAGCTCAGCCAAAGAATCCTCTAAACCAGACACTTCCAGGTTAGTTAAAAGCAGCTTACGTCTCCTCATGCGTGGAGCAAACATTGGAGGAAGCAGATTCTTCACCTCATCTCAGAGTGCCTAGCTATTGCATGGCCTTCAGACAATGAATGATTTTTAGGCCATATGTACGAACTACCTAGGCAAGAGGGGGTGAGTTAAGAATGAAATTTCTCAATTAACTCTCAGTATCCTGGTTTTAATGGATTTGCCAGAGATGTAATACTTCCTTAATGTATTTTTTGCTGTTTAACGTAACATGAAGCAGGAGATTGCAGTAGCTGATCCCTGACAACACAAATGATTTGAAGAGTAGGCAAGGTTAGGACGCTTATTATCAAAACCAACCCCACATACCCATTTTGAAAAGAAGTGTTAGAGCAAGATAGGGGGCAGCCGTGTCCTTCCCCTTACTAAGGCATGGAGGTTCAGGACAATGGTGGAACAAATGGAATTCCACCCAGTGGAGTGGGGACACAATTCTGGGACCCAATGATGGAAGTGAGAACCCCCTGCATATCAGAGCCAAACTCCACAAGGGGTCTCTGTGCCCAAGCAAATATGGAGTTTTTAGGTTGGGTGCTGATTGAGGGGTAGGGCAGGGCAGGGCTGGTGGACCCATGACTACATGACCCCCACCCATGGATCAGGTGCATAGGAGCAAAGCTAGCTCTTGCCTATAATCTCTTCCTTCCATGTGTCTCCAGGAACATACAGTGCCCGTAAGGGAGTGTGGAGGGGCTGGAAGGAGACAGGGGCTCATCCCCACACATTGCCCTACAAAGTAAGCCAGGTTCACTGGGAAAAAAAGCAGGCTGCCTCCACCCCATGCATAAGAGGGAGCCTGGGGAGTGAAATCGCAGAGCTGCACCGGGCCTCCCCCGGGATAGCACAGCTCCACCCAGTCTCCAACTCAGGGCTGTGTGTTAAGGCACAACCTTACCCGAAGTAAATTGCAGCAGAACATAGTTATAACTAACAACATATTTACTAAGGAACACTATGTATCTTGAAACTGAAGAGAACTTACACCTTTAGACTCAGCAATTTTAAATGAAATCAGAAAAATATTTACCATTTAAATCATTTTGTGTGTTTTCCAGAAATATTCTTCCTCTTCCCAGAAACCATCCTCAGCAAAAAGCAGTGAGTAGCTAAACACCATTAGAAAAGAATGCATTTAAATGGTGAAGGGCAGTGCTGGTATCTGCATTATATACTGCTATTTGTTATTATCTGTATTAGAGACAGTGTATAGAATCGTAGATTACTCTGGAATGTAAACAGATCCAAAGCATCAAAGAGCTGCAGACTCATGTCATAATATTATAATTGTGGAATTAAAACTCCAAATGTATCCTTCGTGTTCAATATATTAACATGATTTCTTACAAGTCCTGATGGTATGAAAGGAATAGCTGACATATACAACCAAGATGCTGGCGCTCTTACACCCATGAGTAAGACCTGTGTATCCCTGTTGAACTGAGTAGATGTATTTCTGTCTTTTCCACCCTTTGGGGTCTAATATCTCCCATGCATCGATGGAGAATACATTCATAATCTCCATTAAATCCCCAGTCTACAAATAAAGCCTTTTCAATGGAAAAACTCCAGTGCCCGCACCCATGACCTTGATTTTCAAAAGTGACTAGTGATTTTTGGTGGCCAACTTGAAGTACCGTCAAGGATCCTGATTTTCAGAGGGTGGATGTTTAATGCTTTCTGAAAATCAGGCCTCTTTCGAGGTGCTCACTTTATATTATTATAAAAACGATAAAAATCTACAAGTTGAACATGAAGGGGCATATGAATGTTTAGTATATCTGGCATGTAAATACCTTGCATCACCAGCTACAACAGTGCCATGTGAATGCCAGTTCTCACTTTCAGATGACAGTGTAATTAAGAAGCGGGCAGCATTATTTCCCATATGTAAACAAACTTGGTTTGCCTTAGCAATTGGCTACAGAAGAAGTAGGACTGAATGGACTTGTAGGCCCTAAAGTTTTACATTGTTTTGTTTTTGAGTGCAGTTATGTGGAGAAAAAATCTATTTATAAATTGCACTTTCATGATAAAGAGATTGCACTTCAGTACTTATATGAGGTGAATGGAAAAATACTATTTCTTTTACTTTTTTTTTTTACAGTGCAAATATTTGTAATAAATATAAAATGAGCACTGAACACTTTGTATTCTGTTTCAGAGGGGTAGCCGTGTTAGTCTGTATCAGCAAAAACAACAAGGAGTCCTTGTGGCACCTTAGAGACTAGCAAATTTATTTGGGCATAAGCTTTCATGGGCTATAATCCACTTCATCAGATGCATCGATCTGATGAAGTGAGTTATAGCCCATGAAAGCTTATGCCCAAATAACTTTGTTAGTCTCTAAGGTGCCACAAGGATTCCTCATTGTTTTTGTATTCTGTGTTGTAATTGAAATAAATATATTTGAAAATTTAGAAAAAACATCCAAAAATATTTATAATATATTTAAATTGGTATTCTGTTATTTAACAGTGTGATTAAAACTGCAATTAATCACAACTTTTTTAAATCTTACAATTAATTGTGATTCTTTTTTAATCATTTGACAGACCTATAAATAATTAAGTTATATTTAACAACAAGACAATTAATTAAGAGCTAAATAAGTTTTAAAAAAATTAAAAGTTAAAACAATAGTCAGAACAAAGTACTTTTATTTCCATTTTGAATCTTTATAAAATGTTGGTCAAATTTATCAAAATCAACAAATTCCCATTAAACTTCTTGATTTTGAAGAAACAGCATTTTCTGATGGAGGAAAAGTGTTCCACTGAAAATTTTTCAGCCAGCTGTAGGTTTTATATTATCATTTCTGAGGCACAGAATCAGTAGCAGAGGTGGGAACTGAACAGATCTGACTCCTCAGAATCTACTCTAATCATTATGCCAAACACACATAATGACTCTTATGATAGCAAAAGCCATAACTAAAATTAAGTTGGGACCTTGATTATAACCCTAATTTCTCATATGCTCACATCTGAGAGACATTCTTCTTTGGGGTTTAACCTTTTCATGCTTGATGATGATTTTTTTGGAAAAGTATGAACATGATCCTGTCAGCATTTCTGAGTTATTAGAAAATAAAAAAACATAACTTTCATGCATGGCACATCTTGGAGTTGGTTGCTCGCAAGAGTTGCTGTGGAGGAGGGAACTAAGTGTACAAGACCTCTAAAAGTCACCTCTGTTTACAAGAAGATTAAATGAATCTCCTTCCCACTGCCAAAGTCCTCAACTGTGTTTTGGGAGACAGAAACCCAATACATTTCCTTGTTGTCAAGTGCCCCAATGGTTCTCCAGATATCAAAGCCTCTGACTGCTTCTAAAATGTAGTGTTTTCAATGAAAAAAATAACTATAGCACACAGAAAATCTGGGGACAGAATAAAAAACACAGTTGATGCTCTACTGATTGTATTAGTGAATTTTTTGTTCCCTGGTCTGGCATGCTATGTGAATCAGGAGATCTTACTGCTGAATTTAGCTCCAGTTTACTATGGAGTATTTGGAGCCTGAGGTTCAGTAACATCTACCATGCTGGGGTGTTAAGAGTTAAGGTATTGTTTGTTAAGTGATTTAAAATAGCTGGATGACATGTACTAGAGAGGCTTAATATAATATACACTCCATACAAACATTTTAGACATTGGTGCAATTCTATATGATCCATACCAAAACATCTTAATCCCTTCCCCATAGATTCTGCTTACATATTCATCATTTTTTACAATTGTTGCATTGTAAGTGTGAGCTGACAAATACTGTGTATTTCAATTTCAGGAGCACGATAAGAATGAAGAACATAATGATGAAAGTAAGTATTTTGCACTGAAGACATGGTGATTGCTAGAAAGATTTTTGGTCAATATATTATTGACAACCTCAAATGCAGTAGTATGTTCCTTTAAGTTTAAACTGCAACCATCAGTGTTAAGAAAGGGAGTTTAATGAACAGCTTAGTCAGTGTAAAGGCTTGAGTTGTTGTTTTTGCACTCAGTGTAGACCAGGAGTTCTCAACCTTTGTGTGTGTCCCGTCCCCCCTGCCGCCGCCCAACATGCTATAAAAGGTCCATAACCCACCTGTGCCATGATAACTGGTTTTCTGCATATAAAAACCAGAGCTGGCATTAAGGGGTAGCAAGCAGGGCAATTGCCTGGGACTTCATGCCACAGGGGCCCCCGCAAAGCTACACTGATCAAGTTTTGGCGAGGCTCAGGGCTCCGGGCTTCAGCCTCATGCGGGGGGGCTTTGGCTTTCTGCTCTGGGGCCCAGCGAGTCTAATGCTGGCCCTGCTTTGCAGACCCTCTGAAACCTGCTCACAGCCCCCTAGGGACTCTAGGGGTCCCCCATGGCCCCTGGTTAAGAACCACTGGTGTAGACTATATACAGAGATGCTCTGTACTGGTAGAAGTAGGGCTTTCACCAATGGCTTTTACCCTGGAGAGTTACAGAAATAAGTCATACTGTACTGCATTGCATTAAGAGTTTGCACTGATGTAGTTACACCAATGCAAGTTTCCCAAATATAGAAAGCTCTTAATCATGAATTCCCCTCAGTGTCCCCTTACCACAGTCCTTGATGGCAGCAATGTAGTGGAAGCACTCGCCCCACCAAGAAGGAGCTGACGGAGTATCTCTCCACTCAGAGTATGAAAATAGAGTGATGCATAATCTTTTCTGCAGGAACTACAAGTGCCACCTAAGCACATTTCAGTATGATTATTAAAAAAAAAACAATGCTCAGATATGTTAAATATTATATACTAAATATGTTGTGTGGGTATTTAGATCACAGCAGCAGTGGAGCTCAGGAATCCAAATTTCCCTCTGTTGCAATTCCATCACCATTACCAAGGGCAATGTGAGTAACAAAATATCACTGCTTCTCTTTCATTGTTAATTGCTAGATTTATTAATAACTAAATCCTGCTCTTACTGGAGGCAGCCATCGAAGCAAGAATTGTCTGTTCATGAACCATGAGTCCAGAGCAAGAGGCATCCTGCCCTGGCAAGAACAAGGTGGGATTGCTATTTGCAGGCCACTCTACTATTTCTCCAGGCTGGGCCAGTTTGCATGCTGGAATTGTTTCCAATTACTATATGCTGCTGCTGACAGAAAACTTGCTGGCCTGCTTGAGACAATCAAATGCTGCAGTGATGAGATTTTCAGCAATACCTGTGCATGTATAAAGCCATGCTCCTTTTCTTACAAACCACCCTCCTACTAGCCATGACCTGGTTCTTTGAAAGACATATCTTTCTCACACACCTTGGTATGGTTCCCACCACTATCTTTGAAACTTATATTAAATGCAACACAGCCTCTCCCCTTTTTTCTCTATTACATCAGCCCAAGGAAGGGCAGGATTCAATCCAAAATCCCACCTCTGCCAATAATATTATGAGTAACAGTTAACTATATGATTGATTGTTCAATGCACTGCATGTCTTTTAAATAATCACTTACTTTTTCAATCCTCAGAAAGAAGACACCTAATCCAGTAAAACCACCAGTAAGTGGACTTTGTTTTTTTATAATGATACTGTATAGTATCCCACCTGTGATTCTTAATATGCTTGTAAAACTGAACTTGGTCATAAATACAGTTTCCTTAATGGGAAGTAAGGAAAGAATTAAGGGTATTTTTGCCCCTTGATTAATTAACATTAATAGAAGTTACATACAGAATTGGAGAGAGGAAGATATACTCCAGAGTCTGTTAGCACAAGAATGGCAGAAAATCCTCTGGCCTGCCACAGAGATTATTCTAACCATTGAAAAATGTTTTGGGGCCATCATGAAGGCTTTAATATATAAAATGTGTGGCGGCAAGAAGGGTGGAAATCATTCATAATAGCATATATGCAATTAAAGGGAGTCACAAGGACTTGGCTATGGAATGTATATTAACTCAGCAGCAAAGGGAAAAACACATGGGCATTGCTGGAAACTAATTTAGATTAAACACACCTGGGGTAGTCTTTTTCCTCCAGAGAGTTATCAGCATATTAATTCTCTTTCCTAGGAGATAGTGGTAGAATCCACATTAATGGGATTCAAGAAAACAAATGAGAATTATTTGGAACCATGTTCTGCCCTCAGAGATTGTGTCCAAAAATTCCCACTGATGTGTATAGGAGTCTCCCCTAGGGAATGAGAATAAAATATCAACCTAGAACAAGAGTCATATCTCAAGGTAAAAATGGGCTTTTACCTTGGTCTCTCTTGCTCACATAAACAGGATCGGAGTCTTTCCAAATTTATGTTGCAAAATCTATTTGATCATATTTACACAATCATCCATCTGAATTCCTTGTATGAGAAGGTAATGCCCTCATCTCCCCAACCACAACATCCCTGTCAATTTCAAGTATAAATAACAAGTGGAAAAAAAATTTCTTCAAAGTAAACACACACACCCTTTTGCCAACATGTCATATTGCTTTGCATGACCATTTACTGTTGCAATGTTGCATTAACTGGAATACTGTTAACTTAATCATATTTTAAACAAGTTCCTATACCTGCCAAAAACTTGGATTATTAAAACTGGGGAAAAATTAAAAACAAGTTCATTTCCAACTCTTTTTATTCTGCACTTATTTCTTGTATTTCTTCCAGCTTGGACAGTGAACGTTGCAAAATTTAGCTTGCAAATATTACACAGGAGCATTGGTTTAAAAATGTGAACACTATTTTTATAATAAAAATATGTTATGGAAACATTTTTATAGGGCTTAAGCTTTTGGAAAACCCTCTTAACAAAAATCTAAATTTTGATCCAAATTTAAGTGGATAGCATCCTTTTAATGTGGTAGAGAACTAAGTCTACATTGTGTAGCATGTTTAAGATGCAAACAGAAAACCAATAACCTCTTAATCTAACTTTTGTATGCTATTATTTTATAATGATTGTTTAGGGGTTCGTGCATCTTTTGAGCTGTATAATATACATGTAATTGTTCTCCACTACAGGTATTGGGGAGTTTTGTATAATACTGAAACAAAGATCCTCTATAGCAATGTCTATTTTACAAAATATTAACTGGATGTCATTTAAGTATACAAATGTTTTGATTGACATTTGTTTTATTGTAGAAACCAAGTTTACCACACAAAGAGAATTTAAGTGTTACTGAAGGTAAATTATTTCTGTTACACTGAAAAAAGTTCACGTTCACAAGAATTGAACTTTTGCTTCTTAGTGATTTAGAACATGAATCAGCCCCCGTTACTTGCACTGAGTAGTATTTTTCTCTGCAAACAGTCCCATTGAAATCAGTGGTGCTGTAGGCAGAGTAATAGACTACTCAAAGGGTAAAATTCACACCACAAGAGAGCCATTTGGAGGACGTAAGTGGGCTCCCGGGGCAGAGGAGAATGCCACCGAAAGTGAGTAAGGGTGGAAGAATCTGGCCCTCCTTGTTTCAGTTTTTCATTTGCTATTGTTATTAGTTAAACGTACTGTGCTTTAATTCACTAGCATTAAGGGGCAATATCACACCACTCATTTGTAAATAGTCCCCATTTAAATCAATAGGGAGCACTGCCTGAAAAATCTGTGGTACAATATGGCCCAGTGTGCGTGAGCATTTCACTTAGTGTGTGAGTTAGGGAAAAGGCACAGTAAAAATCATGTTTATTCTACAAATTAAAAAATGAATTAAAGCTGTTATCTCCCATTTGGAGTGATTATTTTTAAAGCTAATCCTGCATTTACAATTTTTTCCATATTACAGAGAAACCTACAGCCGCTGAACGGCGACGAGGTCCCAACCAAGAGCTCCCACTTCCACCCCTACCAACAACAGCCCAAAAGTAAAAGCTAGTTTCATTTCCTTTCTTATAGCTATAGACACAAGACTCACTACTAAGTTTGAACAAAATTATGTGAGAGATTCAGAGGGAAGCATTCTTCTCTCTGCAGCTTTTACTTCTCTTTTAAAGTTCTATTTCTTGAGACTTTTACTTCAGTCCTCAACCTCATGAGGGAACATGTACATCACCACACACACTCTGTTATTGCTTTCTTCCATACACATGCTCAGTTATTCAAACATAGGTGTTAGGTAGACATCCTCAGACCTTTCGGTAATCTCTAAATATTTATTTCAGGCCATTACTTCAAAAGCCACCAGCCCTACCAAGTAAGCACAATTTATCTTTTATAGTAAGTCTGGGTTTATTTCAGTTGCCACATATATATTCATTGGATTCTGAATATGTTGGTCTCTGTAACACATACAAGAATGAGATTAAAATACCCAGCTGGTTGTATGGTATTAGCTTAATTAGTACAATTAAGCAAGACCAGTGGAACTTACTGGGAAAGTCAATGGGAGTTGGGCTCTTAATTCCCCTTTGTACCTCTGAAAGTCAAAACCTAAGCCAGTTTGGGCCGAATTCTATAAAATTCCATCTGGCTTCCACACCACACAAGACCCCAAATATAACATTTTTCTGGGCTGGTTCAGTCTGCAACTTGGAAGCCAGATGACGTTTTTATTGAATCCAGCCCATTTGTTCTTGCACTACAGAAAAAAATGGAATACTTTCATTATGACTAATGCTTAAGTTCTGCTGTAAATAATACTTTTAAGAGGCAGTTGGAAATATTTCAATTTACAGTTTCAGATTCAGGGCAAGTTTTCTTATATGCAGTTCACTATTTTTACACAGATAGAAATGTAAATTAGATCAAATGATAATATATACCAGAAAGATTTCAGCATTTCCATTATATGATTATAAATTATCCAGAGAATTTTAATAGGCCGCAGAATTTACTTTTATGAAGATATTGGTCACTCTCTTAAAGTAGGATGGATTGTTCTCCTTATTCCTTTAGCCGACAGAGTTGTGACAATCTACTGAATTATTGTTTCCTCCTACCTCTGCCCCCAACAAAATAATAGGAATAGTTACATTGGACACTTACACATGTCACACCTTGTTCTTCCCAGAATCGCTAGACACTGCAAACCGCACAATGGGCACTCTTCCACGCAGCAGTATTTCAGCTAGTTTGGATACTACAGACCAGGTATGAAATTAGCTAAGGGTTAAAAGATACACATGAGAAAGCATGTGCCATCAGGCTCTGTTGTAAGAGGAGTCTTACAGAGAGACCCCTGGCTCTCTGATCCTACGCTTCTTCACACCACCTACTCTCCAAGAAAGCATAATCCTGTGCTTGTGGTCCATTTCCTTCCTTATGACAACAACTTTGGCCCTATCTACAGTGAAATCTTTTGTCAGGGTATAAGTCATCTAGTTGCCCAGTTCTAGCCCAAAATAGGTGGAACACACAGGGTGTTAAAGCCATGCTAAACTGTAGAATTATGATTAGATATAGTTATACAAAACATAGGCAGGAAAAGTTTTCTTGCGCAATGTAAACAGGAACTGAAAAGCAGCTTAGTCAAACTTCTGTTTCAGGTCTTCACTTTACTCGCTATGGGATTGTTTGATGCAAACAGAAAATGCCTTATTGGTATATTTAGCCCAGTCCTGAATGCAGATAGATATAGAGTGCACTTAATTGCCCTTTTCCTTTTTGTATTTCATAGCTGAACTCAACTGCTCACTAGCCTTTCTGAAAGTATGTATCCACATGTTTAGTCCAAAGCCGTGCAAACTGTCTGCAGTTGTTGTCAGTGGATAAATAATGAGAGATCCAAGAATACACTAGTAGGAACACGCACACACTTGTGAACCATGCTAGGTAGAGATACTCCAACCTTGTTGGAGCATGAGTCTGCCAGAGATAGTACAGCACAGGAATGCACAAGACAGAGTCATATTTAAAAACATTGCCCTGTTTAATGCAGTTTGGTTCATCAGCAGAGATAGGATCTAAGAGACTAAGTGAGAGGCCACTGGTTGCTCACACCCTCCTCTGTGAAAACTACGATCCTTCCACCTGACAAATAATCTTAGTCCCTCCCTATCAGCCTTGCGCCCTGCTGCTCCCTAAAACAGTTTTCCTTTCACTATAAACCCTTTTGGAATTAGTGCCAAGTTATCTTTGTGAATAACTGGAAAACTTTTTCTATCTTGTATTTCAACATAACGGGTTTGAAAAAAATCTAAGAAAATATGGCTACTTTTATTTCAATATGTCCCCTTTGGTCTCCCAAAGATGGCATAAGACAAAATGCAGGAATCCGTCCTGTCTAGTAATCACAAACGAAGTAGAAATAATTCTGTTGAACAAAAGGCTCTATTATTGCAGAACTAGTAACACTAAATGTTCTAAAGGCTGATATGACAAAGATAATACAGCAGCAAGCGGAACACAAAGAACTTGCAATTGTGGAACAATTTTAACAGTCGGTCATAGTGGATATTATGAAAAATCTTTTTTCATAAAAATAATCCAGCAGACACAAAAGCAAACAGCTTGTAACAATTGTATTTGGAGCTTTTAATATAGCAGATATGGGCAAAACCAGAAGATTGACTGACTAAAAGATCCATTTAACCAGAGAAAGTGAAAACATTGCTGATGAAATCAATGATATTTTCCCAAAAATTATAATGTACGCTGGTATTATCATTTGCTGCAGCAAACTGTACCGCATAGGTGCTCTTTGATTTGTTTGGTTCATGAAGGCAACACCATCATTAAGTGGTTGACTTTCACGGCACAGCTGGCATGAGCTCTCTGTTCAGCTAGGTTATTCCCAACAGTTTATGTGACAGGAAGATAGAAGGTTTCAGGGAGAAGCTGTTTTTGTCTATTCTATATAGGTTCTTATACAGCGCTAATCACCACAGTATGAGTGCATTCCAGATTTGCCATTGCTACCCCTGCTCCATGACAGTTAACATAACAGTTCCAGTCACTCTGTATTATGCTTGAAGCACTCTTGGACCCCTTGCACTATAAAGAGGAGAGGGGTGGGTTGTTGTTAAAACTTTCTGTGAAAGCAACAACTTTATTGTAATGCAATTAAGATGATGTATGAAAATAAAATGACATACTCCTCCCCTCAAGAAAAGGTGACATCATATGTATACTCATGGAACTCAGAAATGATGAAGGTTAAATTTAAAATGGAGACAGGGTATATTCTAGCAAATTCTATAAATATATTAATAGTCTTATGAGGAGGTTGCATGCATTGACACCTGCAGAACAGCATTTACTATACATCATTTACTATGACAATTCCAGCTATTCACAGTAATAATTGCTAACTTAGCAGCCACTTGACATACAAACTATAAACTCACAAGTCTGCATACACACCCTTAAAGGGGAAAAAAGCCCCAGACCTTTCTCCCACTTTATTTTTTTTATGAAAATCCAATAGGAAGGAATAAAAAAACCCTCTTGGGATTGTGTGATGGGAAAGCTACAGAAAGTATAGTGAAAACATTAAGATTTGCTAAGCTTACCTGCACCTTCTCTTACTTCATTCTGAACAACTCCATATGCCTAACCATTGAATGCTTTCAGAGCCAGTGGCAATCTGGAATCCAGTAAGTCATTACAAACTTATATCCAGATTCTGTCATCCCATATTTCACTTTTGATTCTGCTCACACATACAAATACAACTGATGTCTTGCAAGTATACTTGCACTCCTGCATTAACTGCTTTTATAGGGAAATGGGAGAGGCTTTTAACACACAGGGCCCATGGTAATAGCATTTATATCAAAATGATGGATGCATTATAAGAAGTTAGATGGATTAGAACTATCATCTATAGAGAATGAAAAGCAGTCAAGAATAATTGTTACTTCCGGGGGAGAGATAAATGACTATTTTAGACATATTTGGAGGCAGAAATTTCCAACCAACAGTTAGCACAAGCAACCCTTAAAAATAATAACTCATTATCAAAAGGAAGCTTCACTCTGGAAACTCCCTACCACAAAGAATTGAGTAACAATCTCTCCTTTTAAAAGTAAAAAAATAAAAATTAAAAAAAAAAAGAATAGAGAGAATAAAGATTCACTTCCCCAAAATCTGGAGCAGCTAGGGAGAAAGTATTTTGACTGTAGTATTTAGGCCAGCCCTCTTTCTTTCTTTTCTTCCAGGGACATGTGGGGGAAGGTCAAAGATAGCAGAGAAGTGCTGAGAGTCAAGGATGTGCTGAGCTCTCTCTTTCAGCCTATGTACTAGCTCTATAACAAACTTTAGCTCACTTCAACCATACTTTGATCATAAGCTCTCACATATATGAAGAGGCCCTGTTTTATCCTGTTGTCTTTGCTGCTACACCTTAGTACCCTAATCCAGTCCTTTACAGACAGAGGCTGCCTTGAAGGTTTCAGATCTTTTCAGAGGTCCTAATTTTAGTTTGTTTTACTTTTTACCTGGTTTTAATTAAATGATTGAAACCACTTTAATGCCAATGGTATTGACCCATACAGTGTGGGGTTCCTGAAGTCCTGGTTATTTCCCCTACTATGACTCTTCCCTTAGGACAGTACTCCTTTGTTTAATAAAAGTTTCTAGTGAAGGGTCAGCGGGTCTGGTGGACCCTTGCATCCCAGTCCATCTGTGTGTATGTTATGTACAGCATATCATCATATCATAGAATAAAATAAAGCACATTTTTAAAACATTACAATAATTCCCCTTCCTGTACAGTAAGTACAACTGTTCCCTAACTGCAAGAAAAAAAATGTAATCTCCCCTCTGAATTACAGGAAAATAAATCTGAGCAAAAATATGTGCTTCCAGATACGCAATTACGGTAATTTTTTCTAAAGCAACTGAGTGACTTAGGAGCCTAAAGGACCAAGTAATTTTGGAAAATGGAAATTAGGTGATTTTGACATTTTTATCCTTACTGTTTTTCTATACAGAAGATCCCAACTTTTAATGATAACACTCTGCCCTTATAAACTGAGGTTTCAAAACATTTCACAGATATTAATTAAATAAGCCTCACAACACTCCAAGAATTAGAAAATTATTGTACCCATTTATATCTGGAAGAACTAACGCAGAGAGGTTTAGTGACTTGCCTAAGATTATATGGCCAAGTCAATGGCAGATCCAGGGCCTGACCCCAGGAACTGGGATTCCTGTGGAAGGATCCTTTCAATAAATAATCAAAAGCTATCAGTACTCACTGGGGAGGGCGGCTTGTTCAATACACAGTCCTGCTGTGTGAGAAATGTTTGGAGGTATAAAAGCAGTCATCACTCCTAGCATCTAGGAGTATCCACTGGATGACAGAATCCAACTGGCGTGGAAGAAAAGAAATGGGGAGAGTGTAGTTTGCAGGATGCTTTTATAACCAGTTTTGAAAACACTGTCAGTTTGGAGGAGAATGTGGTATGAATAGAAGTAATGGCTGCTACTTTGAGGAGCATGGGAAATTGATCGAGCAAAGCAGATGAGAGTGACGTTTCCACCCATACAAGCTAAAGTTACTGTTACCTCTTTTTGACTGAGCATCTAGTGAAAATATGGGTCCCTGCAGATTGTTTCAGCTGGGAGGAGAAACGGAAGTTGGAGTCTGGTACCTTTGATGCAATCTTATTTACAGAAAACATACAAAATTCTATTTCCCCAAACATGGGAGGAACCCCATAACAGGAGACAGTATCCTCACTCGCAGCACTAAAAACTTTCTCTCTAGCCTTTCTGCAGGGTAATGCTCCCAGGTGCTTGTTCAGGCTGTCTCTGTCTCACTCTGGTTACGTCTACACTACGAGCTAGGGGCGTGATTCCCAGCTTGCATATGCATACTCTCAGAAGCTATCATCAAGCTAGCACATGTATAAATGGTAGTGGATCTGCAATAGCACGTCAAGTACAAACCTATCTGAACCCCACGGGTATGTACTTGGCTAAGCTGTGCCGCTGCTGCAGCCCGTGTTACCGCAGCTACATTACTATTTATACTTGTACTCAGTCTCATTGAGCTAGTGAGTATATTACATGAGCTGGGATTCACACCCCTCGTTCATAGTGAGACATAGCCTTACACACACATACACACACACACACACCCATACCCAAAGACAATAACCTATGGAGCCTTCTCCCCACATGGTCAAAATGACTGGGTAGGTTCATATACCCTTGGTCTTAGCGCATGTCTACACTACAAAATTAAATTGACCTAACTTACGTTGGCATATAGGTGCCGCACTAATTACATCACTTGTGTGCGCATCCTCACCAGGAGCACTTGTACTGTGAGCATGAGGCATTGTCGGATAGCTTCTGAAAGCCAGTGACAGTTAATGTAAGCAATGCAGTGGCTACACTGATACTGCCTCAACCTAATTACATCAACATTGATTCTATGCCTCTCCTGGAGGTGGTGTCAAGTTATAAAGTCAGCGTAGCAGAGCAGTTACATCAGTGGGAGTGAAAATTTAGTGTAGACACTTACATAGTTAGGTCGATGTAAGCTGCCTTGCATTGCCCTAACTCTGCAGTGTAGACCAGACATCATGTGGGGCTGCTTAGCTGTCTCACTCATCTATCTTAAATGAGGGGGTGGAGATCACTACAGTTTAAATGGGGTTTAACCCAACCCACAACGATATATTCAGAACTGAGAACAACCTTAGGTAGGGCAGAGTCACCACGTTATACATCTTGCTTGATTTGAAGGGTGTAAAAGAAACCTGGCATCCTGTGGCCAACACCCACTGCAACACACAAAAGTATATGCTAAATCAGTATGTAAATATCAGCAGAAAGTGATATTTAATTATTAATAGTGAAAATGATTCACAAGTCTCTCTCTTAGTCCCTCCTTTTTCCACTGGAACAGTTTTCTGCTATACAAATGCCAACTTCCTCCATCTCCACATGGATACCTCTCCTTAAGATCTCCTCTTAGCATTCACTGATTGGTTTCAACTTATCCTTCATTTGAACTGCATCTGTCCAGTTAAGACCGTGAGCTCTTGACAGAAGCCTGTCTTAACTATGTGTTTTCTAAAATGCTCTGCACACTTATGGTTCTCTATAATCATCAACATTTGGCAATGGATACACTACAGTATCTGTTTATATTTTATTACCCCTATCTTATAGCTGTGTAGTACATAATATCCAATGAAGAAACTATCATTATATTTTGCTGTAAGTTATAGAAGAAAACCAGGCTTTTCCACTGCATTGACAAAGGTCTCCACCTCTCTCACAGGATGCTGGTGTTCATGATAAAGCATGGTATGCAGCTTATTGTGATCGAAAAACTGCAGAAGATGCATTATACAAATCAAATAAGGTAAAGTGGGGAGTTAACATTTGCAATATGCCTCTTAAGAAAATTTTAGACATGTGGAATGGGGAATAAAACTTAGATTGTTCCCAGACAGCTTGGGCCCCACCCTGAACAGTTTAGAGTAGTGTTGGCTGAAGTGTGTCGACACGGTTTAGATTTGGTTGAAATGGTGGTCTCTAAAGTCAATTAAACTTGCACCTGTGTAACTCAGCACAGATTTTTGGCCCACTGGAGGCAATAGTATTATAGCAGCTAGAGATGCAAAAGATCTATTAACTCAGATACATCCCTTACAAGGCAAGAAACAGGACACAGATACTAAACAAGCTCCACCACTGCCCACTGTCTCATACTCAAATGCTGGTATCTGTAAAATTGGTCCTACCACTTTATTTCAAAATGATAACTTAACACCACACACACACACACACTACGGAGCCCTCTGACCTGGGCTTTACACTTTGTCTGAACTTCCTGACTGAGACTAGATCAGTCTGCACAAAGCTCTAATGCCACAGGGAGCATCACATTTAGGGCAGCACCCTATGTGCCGGCAAAGGCCCAGTCTTTCAGAGGCCTTTCTTTCCCCCAACAAAGTTTTTTTTTTTTTTTTTATGGCTCCACCATGTGGGATAGAGGGACAGAATAGTGGGGTAATCTTTAGGATAGGATATCGCTGGCTAGGAAGCATTAGATAACCCCAACAGTGGTTTGTTTGCTGCTTGTGTAAAGCTGTTGAGAGCATTTCATCTGCTCAGGTTCTCTCTCCTTCCTTGCCTACCTACTGCCACTGGTGGTAGCTTATACAGTCTTCACTTCCTAATGTCCTGTGATCCCCAGGAAGCGGTTATTACCTGCTCATTTGTTCCTCTCCTTTCTCTAGCTGAGAGGGAACATGCAGCAGCAGCCATTGGGACTTGGGACAGCAGAGAATGCTACTAAATGACTCCTGTATAAGCTAATATTGGGGGGAAGCTCCCCCATTTCTCCCAGTGAATTTTGATACATCCTCAATGATAGCAACAAAATAAACTAATAAAATATTATTGCATTTCCTTTCCTTAATATAGGATGGATCATTTCTGATAAGGAAGAGTTCTGGTCAGGATTCAAAGCAGCCGTACACACTAGTTGTGTTTTACAACAAAAAAGTGTATAATATCCCTGTACGATTTATTGAAACAACTAAACGATATGCACTGGGCAGAGAAAAAACTGGCGAGGAGGTGAGTGATTTTTCCTTTTCCAGATTTATGCCCTAATAAGTAAAAATTAAAGTTTTTTTTTTAATTACATTGTTAGGATGTAAATCTTCATTCACCAAGATAAAAATATACCTCATCAAATAATTGATTTATCCTTCAGACTGAAAAATCCAATGAAACAAATATAAAATAAGGTACTGTAAATCAGTGGCTTTCAACCTTTTCAGACTACCATACCCCTTTCAGGAGTCTGATTTGTCCTGTGTACCCCCCAAGTTTCACCTCACTTAAAAACTACTTGCTTACAAAATCAGATGACATACAAATTCAAAAAAGTGTCACAGCACACTATTACTGAAAAAATTGCTTACTTTCTCATTTATACCATATAATTATAAAATAAATCAACTAGAACATAGGGTACTTACATTTCAGTGTATAGTATATAGAGCAGTATAAAGTCATTGTCTGTAGGAAATTTTAGTTTGTACTGACTTCGCTAGTGCTTTTTATGTATCCTGTTGTAAAAGTAGGCAAATATGTAGATGAGCTGATGTATTCCTTGGAAGACCTCTATGTACCCTGATTGAGAACCACTGCTTTAAATCCACCTCAGAAGGTAACTTAGGTTACTGCAAATTGGGACTTCAAAGTCACAGATTAGTTTAAAATATACAAATATATTTTATCATTTTGGACAATCATCAGGATCAGAACTTCAGTTACTAAGTGTAAATTCTCCATCCTTTCTTGAAAACCAATCTTCTAACCATCCTTCATGCAACAGCTCCCATTGAACTCAATGAGATCTTTGAAAAAGAACAGTTACATTTAAATACTTAGGGAGAAAATTAGTCAGAACTGCTCCTGCTGTCTCCCCATCACTTACCAAAAAGAGAGAGTTGATATCTTGGGTTGCATTTGCATAACTGTTAAAACTCTTCTGGAGTATAATCATAAAATCATCGAACAGGAAGGGACCTCAAGAGATCATCTAGTCCAGTCCCCTGCACTCGTGGCAGGACTAATTACCTAGACCATTCCTGACAGGAGTTTGTCTAACCTGCTCTTAAAAATCTCCCATAACAGAGACTCCACAACCTCCCTAGGCAATTTATTCCAGTGCTTAACCAACCTGACAGTTAGGAAGTTTTTCCTAATGTCCAACCTAAACCTCCCTTGCTGCAATTTAAGCCCATTGCTTCTTGTCCTATCCTGAGAAATTAAGAAAAATAATTTTTCTTCCTCCTCCTTTTACATACTTGAAAACTGTTATCGTGTCCCCTCCCAGTCTTCTCTTTTCCAGACTAAACCCCATTTTTTCAATCTTCCCTCATAGGTCATGTTTTCTAGACCTTTAATCATTTATGTTGCTTTTCTCTGGTCTCTCTCCAATTTGCCCACATCTTTCCTGAAATGTGGAGCCCACAACTGAACACAGTACTCCAGTTGAGGCCTAATCAGCATGGAGTAGAGTGAAAGAATTACTTCTCATGTCTTGCTTACAACACCCCTGCTAAAACTTTTTGCCCAAGGGCCACATCTGGGTATAGAAATTGTATGGCAGGCCATGAACGCTCACGAAATTGGGGTTGGGGTCTGGGAGGGAGTGAAGGCTCTGGGGTAGGGCCAGAAATGAGGAGTTCGGGTGCAGGAGGAGGCTCCAGGCTGGGGGGTGTGGGCTCTGGGGTAGGGCTGGGGATAAGGGGTATAGGAAAGTGCTCCAGGCTAGGACTGAGGGGTTCAGAGGATGGGAGGGGGATCAGGGCTGGGGCAGGGGGTTGGGGTATGGGGGGGGCAAGGGCTCCGGCTAGGAGTGCAGGCTCTGGGGTGGGGCTGGGGATGAGGGGTTTGTGGTGGAGGGTGTTCTGGGCTGGGACCGAGGGGTTCGGAGGGCAGGAAGGGGATCAGGGCTGAGGCAGGGGTTTAGGGCGCCAGGGGGTGGCTAAGGAGTGCAGGATCAGGGTAGCACTTACCTCAAGTGGCTCCTGGAAGCAGGAGCATGTCCCCTTTCTGGCTCTGCTGCGCGCTGCCCTGTCTGCAGATGCCATCCCTGCAGCTCCCATTGGCTGTGGTTCCCAACCCATGGGAGCTGCAGGGGCAGTACTTGGGGTGGGGGCAGCATGCAGAGTGGAGCCCCCTGGCTGGCCCTACGCGTAGGAGCCACAGGGGGGACATGCTGCTGCTTCTGGAAGCCGCGTGGAGCAGCCCCGACCCTGTTCCCCAGCCAGAGCGGGGCAAGCCCCAGACCTCACTCATCAGCAGGAGCTCGAGGGTCGGATTAAAACAGCTAGCAGGCTGGATGCAGCCCGCAGGCCATAGTTTGCCCACCCGTGTGCTAATACATACCAAAATGATGTTTGCTTTTTTTGCAACAGCATTACACTGTTGACTGATATTTAGCTTGTGGTCCACTATGACCCCAAATCCCTTTCCACAGTACTCCTTCCTGGACAGTCATTTCCCATTTTGTGTTTGTGCAACTGATTGTTCCTTTCTAAATGGAGTACTTTGTATTGGTCCTTTTGAATTTCATCCTATTTACTTCAGACCATTTCTCCAGTTTATCCAAATCATTTTGAATTTTAATCCTATCCTCTAGCACTTGCAACCCCTCCCAGCTTGGTATCATCTGCAAACTTTATAAGTATACTCTGTATAAATCATTGATGAAGATATTGAACAGAACCAGACCCAGAACTGATCCCTGCGGTACCCCACTGTATCAATGTTATGCTACATTGATAATCAGGCTATTTCTAAAGCAGTATGGAGATTTGGAGGTTCAAATACCATCATCACATGGTAGGAGGCCCTTTGAGGGAATTAGGCTTAGCCCCACCTGAGCTTCATTATCTGCCTCCCAGGGGCTGAGTTTCAGGCCAGAGATCAGGTAATAGCCTGAAGACCACCTGTTCTTCAGATAAAAGGCCGGCAAGAAGGTCAGGGAGACCTATGGGAGGGATAGCTCAGTGGTTTGCGCATTGGCTTATTAAACCCAGGGTTGTGAGTTCAATCCTTGAGGGGGGCCCATTTAGTGAGCTAGGGCAAAAATCTGTCTGGGGATTGGTCCTGCTTTGAGCAGGGGGTTGGACTAGATAACCTCCTAAGGTCCCTTCCAAGGGACAGTGGAGGCAACATACTTAGTCAAAGGGGAAGGGAGACACACCTATTTGATAACATGATCTCAGAAGATCCTGTAGTTCCAAAGATGACCATGACAGAGAGAAAGAAGATGAGGTAGCGATTCTTGTGATTTTCATTGTGTTAGCCAAGTAATCGACAAGACTTCTAACTGATTTCTGTTTTCTCAATCCAGCGCTTCACAAGTGTTGCTGAAATAATAGAGAATCATCAGCATACACCCCTGGTTTTAATCGACAGCCACAACAACACAAAAGATTCCACCAAACTGAAACATATTGTTAGAGTTTCATAATTACACTGAACTGTAAGAAGATCAAGATTTTTATATGTATTTTTCCAACTTCCCAAAGTTTCTGGATCAAGTATTTTAAACAAAAACAAACAAAAAAAATTCAATATGTTCAAAGAACTACATCTACTACAGCTCACTGTTTTCAATAAAGCAATTCATTTGCAAGATCCAGAGCTCTTGAAAGTAGAATGACTATAACTAAGAAATGGACCACTGTATGCAACCAGACAAAGCTAGTATGTTGCACCATGTTTGGGATTTCAAGATGTGAATGGATTAGCACTGCCCAGAGCTCTACTCCGACTGTCTGATTCATGAGGTTTTTGGTTGTATTTTTAATGTGCAAATAAAATGTAACAATACTATAAAATGAATAATGTACAGTAATATTACTGCTTGATATTTACTGTTGGGGTTCTAACTGCTGTCAGAATACTTTAGTATAGCTTGTGTTTATTTTAGTGTGAATATTATCTTTGCATGAACTGCTTCATACATTCTATTGTTACAACAAATATCAATGTACAGTTTGCTCATATGCCTGTATTTTTTTTCCCCATGTATATTTTTAGCTAGACAGTTTTCTCAAATGCCTGTCTGCAAATTGTTACCTGTAGGATTCAGAGCTTACTGTAGGAACACCAGATTCCTTCATTGCTAAATATTACTTAAACACTACATTCTTGGGCAATCAAGAGGGAAATTGAAGCAGGATTACTACAGTGCCATGCTGCAGGCTGGCATGTTCCAGGATCACCACCTGTACAATTCCAGCATCTGCCAGTAGTAGATACAAGAGACAAGATGGGTGAGGTAATATCATTTATTGGACCAACTTCTTTAGGTAAAAAGGTACAAGCTTCCAAGCTACACCGAGCTCTTCTTCAGGTCTCGAAAAGATAATCAGTGTCCCAGCTACCGGGTAGAAACAAGGTGGGACAGATTTTTTTAGTTTAAGGGATAAACAGCTGTTGCAGGAGATCCTTTAAGATGAAGTGGGCAATTAACACCTCTGCAGTCATAGGACAAAGGAGGGTTAGTGGGTTACAGATTGTTGTCACGAGTAAAATAAGTATCTCTGTTGAGTCCATGATTTTTTTAATCTAGCCAAGTTACGAGTTGAAGCTCCCAGTCATGACATCAGCTGTTTTCATCAGATACCAAGTCTAGTGGGTTCTAAATATATTTTAAGTTGTTTTTAGTCTGACATCTGAGGACACAGTAATTATCTGTTCAGATATCTTCCATATTACAATGCAATACAAAAAAAGTACTCCAGTTGACTTTAAGAATAATTAATGCATAGATAAATGTTGAATCAGTGAACAATAATTTTAGGGCTAAAAGTAAGGCTTAATTTTAAGGAAGACAAATGCAGTACTCAACCTGCTTTTAGTTCCAGAGCTCAGGGAGGATGTGGAACCATCTCACTTACTTATTCATATTAACATGCAAGAATTAGAGTACTTGATGTCTGTCTGATACTAAAATTGCAGCAGAATGACCAAATAGTGTAATTTATTCCTGCCAGTACTGTTCTTTGAAAGACATGGGAGCTCACATTCTCAAAATTCAAAAGCTGAGACAAAACTACATTCCTTTCTCTCTAAAACCACCCCTAGTAGGCAAGTTGTAAAAAAACAGAAAAACTGGTTGCTGATGTCACAATAGCTCTGGAACAAACAGATACTAAAAAACTTTTAGAGAAGTTGTTTGTTATACTTTGTGTATTGCTATTGTAACAAAGAATACACAATGGGCCAAATTCTAGGCCCACTAAGGTCACTTTGCACATCTGGAATGGCAGGAGCACAGTGCTGTTAAGATTTTAGCCCAAAGCATTTAGTTATTCTCCAGATTTTCCTAACAGGAGAAATTCTAGCCCCATACCTGTAAGCAGTTACCATCCACTCCCAAGTGTGCTAAGATTTTAATGTCTGTCTCTTTATATACATATACACACTATATACAAATTACATTAAAAGAATGTTAAAGTTACTAAGCACTCAGACATTAGGAAATGTCAACATTAGGCGGTCTGTGCAGCCTTAATTTGGCATACTTGTGCACATGCATTATGATATATTCTTTAATTACATGATCAACTACTATTTTTCCACGCAACCACCGCTTCATTCAGTACATTATAGGATGGTGTGTGCTCACTTGAGTAGCTATTCAATATTTTGTTTTCTATATATGGCCCCATACCTTATTTATTGCATAATATTCAAACCTACTCTGAAAAGAGAATTATTTCCTCATGGGCTTTTCTATGATGCTCATCACTATAGTATCTGATTGTTGTGAAAATAAATGAATACATGAGAAACATTCACAAAGTGAGCGGTGGTATCATCCCCATTTTACAGATGGGGAACAGAGACAAAGAGGTTAAGGTCAAAAGCCTCTTTATAATTTTTGGTGCCCAATGTGCAACTCCTAGGACCTTACTTTTTAAATTTTTTATTATATAGCACTTCATATGTTCAAAGCACAGCTCCCCCAATTATAGTTCCCACTGTAAGTGCTCAGCACTTCTGTAACTCAGACTCCAGGTTATCAAGTCAGACACTCAGAAAACAGTGAACACACAATTAGTAACCACCTGTGAAATTTTGGTTTAAGTGACTTGCCCAGCATCACAGAGGAACTCTGTGACAGAGGCAGAGACAGACTCCAGTTCTCCAGGATTCTCAACTGTCTTAACCATGAGACCATCTTTTCTCTTCTTGCAATCTTCTACCTCATTCACTACACAACTTCCAACTTCTGCAACAAATGAAACAGGTCCTACAAACAACAGCCCACTTTACTACATAACACTGATTATCCCTAGAGTACCGTACCTCTAACCAACTGAATGAAAAAGGGGTCCCGGGGTGGGGCGGAAATAGTATGTGGTCATGTAATTAAAGACTTATCATAATACATATGCATGCATGGGAGAGGAGAATTAAGGTTGCACAGGTAACATTACTTCTGGCATTTTCCATCTTTTAAGTGCTTGAATGCAAATTAGAAAAAAGAATTCTATCATGTGGCATCATATTGGCACCTACATGGAGCCACAGCACAGAACTCTAACTTTGAGTTAACAGAGTAACTGATAGCAGCAGTAGGTTGTCATCCTCAATATGGACCAGCCACTTTGCCGGTGCGTTTCCACAGATTTGTGCTGACAGCAGAGGAATGATTGAAATCTTGAGTTCAATTCCAGGTTCTGGAAGGAAGTGTGTTCTAGTAGACACAGACCATTCAGCCCCTGTTCCTTCCTCCTCCACCCCAAAAAAAATACATTGATCCCTTCTGCTCCTGTCCCAGTCCCATCTCTCCCCAGCCAGCCTCCTCATCCTAATCCCATTCTTCTCCAACATACTCCCTAAGTACCAATTTTCCTTCCAACACAGCTCACAGTCCCAGTATCCCCACCCATTTCCTTGTGCAGCCAGTCCCAGACTCCAGGCCTCTCATCCAACCTCAGTCTTGCTCCTCCACTTGTTCTCATTTTCCATTGTCCCCATTTCTCCTTCCCATGCTCCTTGTCCCATTCTACTCCCACAGTTGCTGTCAGCCTGGTTCTTGTCCCCACTGCAATCAAATCAGGCTATTGCTCTTTCACATTGCCTAGGCACCAGCAGAAATGCCGGGACTAGACAACGGGATGGATTACTTGATAAATTCTGCTCTTCTGTTTATTCCCTCTGAAGCATTGGGCACCGACCATTGTCTGAAGATAGGATACTGGGCTGGGTGGAATCTTCCAACTCTCAGTTCCTGTGCCTAGTACAACAACTGCCCACAGCAACCTGCATGGAAACTCCTGCTCAGTCCCTGGACTGCTCAACTTCAAGTATCTATGCAATGTGAACGAACAAAAGATCTTTCAAAGGCTTAAAATTTGGCCAAATTTGGGTGGTTTTTCACAAGAAGAGAAAAGGGCACAAATCTGACACAAATATCGTGCCATGCCTCTGCCAAATTTCAAATCCCCGTTCCCACGTATAGAGGCACTAGAGCACAACTAAACTATTTCCCCCAAATGTTGTTCTTGGAAATGGCTGAACCATTTTTGCTGGAACTTTCCAGAACAACCTGAAGTAGAAACCCAGCATGCAAAATTTCATCCCAAACCGTTAAAAGTTTGGCAAAATAATAAGCAACTAAAGACAAGGTCTTACAACGGGAAATGTCATGCAACCTTAACAGCAGGCAGCACTACCACCTGCATCTAGAATATACAATGTTAATAAAAAGATTCTGGTGTGTTCTATTTATATGATCTTTACTTTGATATTAGCAATAACCAATTCTAAAAAGTGTTTCCATATAAACCAACATTTTTTTAAAATCAATGAAATTTGGTTACTGTGGCTGCAACCCTTGCCAGTCGTTTTCAGAAAGATATTTATAAATGCATTTTATGTACCAGTGAAATACCTCTTAACAGGATCCTTCAGCTGTAACACAAAGATGCACACTGAATGCTTTAATTCTGAAGAAGCTGATATTTTCCAGACTATCAGCCACACAATACTTATGAAAAATGTACATGGACAATGTGTGTGTGTGTGTGTGTGTGTGTGTATGTATATATATATATGCGCACACACACACACTGTCCATATACATTTTATATATATATATATATATAAATAAAATGTATTTCCCCAAAAAATTAAGACTGACACCATATTACAACAGTCAATCACTGAATCCATATTATTCTGGATGGGGCAGAAGAATGTGTCAAGGTACCATTAAATCCTCAAGAGTCTTTTGTAACTGGCTTATTAGTAGTTAGAGATATAAAATTGATAAATCATACTGAGTTTTATAAAGGATCAAAATTTAATGTCGATATTACAGGAATTAATTTCAAAAGTGACAGAATTTTAGATTTACAACAAACATCCATGTACCCCCTCAGTCTGCTTAAGAGTTGCTTTGCTGCAGCAGGGGGCTAAAATCACCATTACCATGTATGCTCTCACTTAGCTGCACGGCAGCACAAGCCACACAGAAGAAGCCCAAGTAGTAGATTCTTCATAAATTAGTGTTAAAAAGCCAGGCAAGAGCCTCAGAACATTTCTTTTCTCCCCACTATATTAAAAGCTTTGCAAAATTAACAAATTGTATGACAAATTCATTCTGAGGCTTAAATCTCATCATGAAAAGAAAATATTTCACACAATGGAATATTTGATCTGGAATGCTGCTCCATATGTGAATGCAAATATACATGTTTCAATCTAAATCCACTTATATACCCCACTTATTACAGAGCTGAAGTAAAAACACCTCATGAATGACGTAAGTCATTAATTACAAAGTTTTCTACCACCAAATTGCTTATTTTCATTTCCAGTAAAGACTGCTGCTTTGCTTCTACACAACAAAGCAACACACACTCTTAAGCACCTTCAAAACACATACCAAGACATTTTTTCATACTTCCGCTCTCCCCCACCAATATAGGTGTCAGCATTATTCATGCAGCAAAACACACCTACACCGTACACAAACAAACAAGCCAAA